TATGGACTTGAATTCTATTACTAAATTACCATTCTTCATGGCAGTCCATTTCCAAGTATGAAATGGAGAGTAAAGCCTTATAAATGGAGAGTAAAGCCTTATAAATAAAGAGGGAAAGAACTGTGAGTTGTCACTGGTGAATTAAGTCTTTCTAACATAGTCATTGGACTCCTTTGAACATGTGTTGCCAGAAATACACAAGAGTCCAAATATGACATTTGGCTGAGTACCATTTGCAAATACTCCATAGGGTACTTCAGGGAAAAGAGATTTTGGCTTCCTCAAAGTTGCCAGAATACAGGTAATATCATCACTCCCTGTTGGTTATTCTGATGAGAACTGGTGGAAGTTGCAGCATCATACATTCATCATTCCTAATTTTCAAATAGCCAGAAATGTTAAATGAAGTAATTTTAAACATGATTGAAGGAACAATTTTGAAAACTGTGTGTTTGTATACAGGTGGTGGGCAAATGGTATTGAAACACTATCATTTTACGTTGACATCATCATAATTGTCAAATTTTCATTTGATGGTAGGAGCAATGACCTTGTGTATTACAAATCCAATCTGGGTGACAAAGACTCGACTTGTGTTACAGTATGAATCTGGCATTGACTCATCGAAGAGGCAATACAAAGGGATGCTCGATGCCCTTTTTAAAATATATAGGTATGAAGGAATACGTGGCCTTTATAAGGTAAGTCAATTGGAAGATGGACATTTTGGATTAGTGCAGGCCTCTTCAACCTATTGCCCTCTAGATATTTTGAACTTCAGCTCCCAGAAGTCCTGACCATTGAACAAGCTTGCTAGGGCTTCTGGGAGCTGGAGGCCCAAACACCTGGAGGACTACACATTGAAGTGGTCTGCTGTAGTGACTAGGGTTTCTGCATGCTTGCTTGCTTGTAATTTGAATACAAACATTAGTCTAGTATGTCTGTGATCTGTTTGCTTTTTCTGTGCTACAAAAGTTGCTTCCCTCCAGACAGAAAAGGGAACAAAAACATTGGCAGTGTACATTGGTTAAAAGCACACATGAGTATTTTATAAGCTGGGGTTTTTTTTTCTTCAGTGTTAGTGAAACAAGCTTCTATCTGTTACTCTGTCTTCATGATCAAGTAGATTCTGGTCTCCCAAACTAAGCCAATTTTGAACCAATCTCTGCCCCCAGGCACTTACTGAATGATATTATTTAAACAAAGTTCAGACAGTTTTAATATCCTGTTTTTGAAGCAAGAACTTATGGTTAGAGTGAGAGGGGGAGATGGACATATTCATGAGCAAACTGAATAGAAAGCATTTGTATAATTCTTGGCACTGAGAAGAGATGATAGGTTTATTGATCTGGAAGAGTTTTAAATCTTTATAACCTTCCAATGGCAACATCTGGCTCACCAGATATTAAACTTTTACAGCCCCAATCTTCTCTGACCATTGGCCATGCTGGAGTCCAAAAATCTAAGAGCTACATCCCTCCTCTATCTCTTCCATGTATGAAATTACCTGGAATGTTTCTGTTTGTCTTGCAGTGCAATATGTACAATATGTTTTAAACTTATGAATGTAACGGGTTTTTTCCCCCTGTAAAAACATGATTTGTTTTCACATCCCTTAACTTATTTTTAAAAATCTCTATCTAGGGATTTGTGCCTGGTCTGTTTGGAACATCGCATGGAGCACTTCAATTCATGGCTTATGAAGAGCTGAAAACAAAGTACAATAGATACCGAAACAGACAATTTGATTTAAAATTGGTAAGATACTCTGTAAAATGAGAGCACTGCCTTTTTTCAAATATATTCACAAGGACTTGCCTTCTCTTGTCTTATTGAGAACTAGTATTTTTTTGCTATCAGGAACTGATTTGAATTCCCCATAGATGTAATTTATATTAACAGTGTACATATTTTAATGATATTTTAACAATACAAAAATATTAATTGAAACTGCTTTTTCAACTAACATTTTTGGGAACTTATATTGATAGTATTTCATATTTCAGAGCACTTTAGAATATATCACAATGGCAGCCCTATCAAAGATATTTGCAGTTGCTGCAACATACCCATATCAAGTTGTGAGAGCACGCCTCCAGGATCAGCACAACAGATATTCAGGTGTAGTTGACGTCATCCGTAGGACATGGAGGTAGGCATGCAGACCTCAGCCTGTTATAGAAATGCTTCCATTATTGACATTTATGTGTTTGAAAGTAAAAAAAAACCTATAAAATTATAATTATTTCAGGCTAATGTAAGATTCCAGTGTCCATGGGGGATATGTCCCCAGCCAGACTGCAGTAACATGAAACCATGGATATGACTGAATACCATTAAATTACTTCATGGTTCCAGCATATCATTGAGTTGCTTAGGAAGACCTAGAGATTTCTGGCGAGGTATAGTCACCAGAAAGCTGAATATGTCACCTGGTTGAGTTCCAGAGTTCAAATGTTTGGATTTTTGTTTTCTAATTGACAGACTGGAACTTGCTTTTACCTATGATCTAGCAAATATATAACTGCTTTGCCTCCTCCATCATTTCTGAATTGGTCAGTTTTCTTCTTCATGCACTTCTGCTATAGCAAAAAGGCATCCTTTGTTATGTAACATTAGATGGAGAAAAATAACAAATAGAGGGAATGGTGAGAACCGTGATGAGTCGCCTCCGGGCTGAGAACTGCGGTATAGAAGCAAAGTAAATAAATAAATGGTGGAATAATGTATTGCTTGTATTTTTATTTATTTATTGACGATATTTCTATCCCGCCTTTCTCAAACCCAAAGGCAACTCAAGGCGGCTTACAATATTTTACAAAATAGTGGGGGGGGGGGGGAATACTGGAAGCCATATGACCCATGGAACTTTACAGAAGTTGAGAACTACTGTATAAGGAAAATTAGTTCCTTAAGAGTATAACACACACACACACACACACACACACACACCCAAAAAAAGTATTTATTCTCCTTGTCGTGAAGTCCAATGCCAGCAGCCATTTTCACTGAACCAAAACAAATGATGGCAGAATGTGAAATTAAATGTCTCTTGAGTAATCAGAGAGTAAATAACATTTTATTTTTCAGCTCACGCTTCTGACAAGTGCTTTTCTAGTATAATTTTTGTTATTGTGTTCCTTCCAAGTTATTTCCATCTTATAGCAACTCCTAAGGTGAACCTATCACAAAGTTTTTGTGGCACAAGTTGAGCAAAGGCAATTGTGCTATTCCTTCTTCACTTGCTGAGAAAATGTCACCCACTCAAGGAGACCCAATACATTTTTATGGCTAAATGGGTTGTAATCCAATAATCAAACTACTATACCATTCTGGCTCACTAGGTAGTCTTGTGTGGATTTATATGTGCTTTCAAGTTATCTGTCGACTTTCGGTGACCCTATGAATTTCATGAGATTCATGAAGCTCTAAAGGTGGTTTTGCCCATTCCTTACTAAGCACAATTGTCGTTGGCATCCCTAATACTAACATCTTATTTATAGACTTTCTGTGGAATTTTGCTATAGGGTATTTTTATACTCTTCTGCATTATTTACTATTATTTATTTACAGTATTTATATACCGCTTTTCTCACCCCTAGGGGGACTCAAAGTGGTTGTTGTTTATTTATTTCATATCAAAAGCATTGCATAAATTAGTATAAAACTGATACATATAGAAGGAGGACAAGCAGCTAAATATCTTTTGACCAAAACAGGTCAACAGTGACCACATAGTCTGTAGTCTCAAACAATTCTTCCTCTGTACATAAGGCAGGACAATGCGGACATGCATACAGATGCGGAGTTGTCTGTTTTGCTGAGAAATTGAGATTTTTTAAATCCTATTTTTAGTGAGGTTGTAGCCAGGATGAACAGAAATCATGCCTATAATTATTTGATTGTTACTTTTGTCCCCACTGTTCTACCACTGGTGATCAAAATGCCAGTAATCTAGTAAAAAAAAAGTTCTAGCATAATTAATCAATGGCAGTACTGTCCAAAAGTAAATATGTTTGGAAATTGTAAATTTGTTCTTCTTCTCCCTAGGAAAGAAGGAATTCATGGATTTTACAAAGGAATTGTACCTAACTTGATCAGAGTCACTCCTGCGTGTTGTATCACATTTGTAGTATATGAAAAAGTATCTCATTTTCTAATTGGCTTGAAGAATGGTGGGTGAATATTATGGATTATCTCAGGACATTATCATAGTTTGGCCTTGCATCACAGCTGTCTTAAGTGAAGATGGAATTTCCCAGGCATTCACAGAAGAAACGACAAACTGGAACACCATTAATTGTGCTTGGCACATTTCTTCTGCATTTGTATCCTTTGCCTGGAATGTTATTCCATTTGAATCCTTGAATGAATAATGCAGCTCAGAAACTAAGTCTGCATCTTTCATTTTGTTGTACAGTGGATGGTTCTAACCCTGAAAAGGAGGGAATTAGAATTTCAGGTGAAATAAAGACACTACTAAATAAATTTGGCATGTTAATCCACAATTACTTCAGCTGTCCAAACGCTTTTTCCCCCCTCAGTTGAGTAAGCATCATTATGAATGAAAATATAATGGAGAGGGAATAGCACAATATGATGTACACAATTTGTCTTCACCACACTACAAAATTGGAGTTAAGATTTCACATTGTCAACTTTGAAAGAAAGGTTTGTTGTGTTTTTTTGCCAGTATTAATATTTTGTTTTAAATGTAATTAGAAACAAAATATAATATTTAAGTAAATACTGTTTGAGATGTGACATTTGGGGAGCCTGACACTATGCAGACTCGGCTCAGCATGAAGAGCTGGGCTGAAGATGGAGAGTATGGGAGGAAACAGGCATAGGCACTATCATAGGCATTTTGACTTCAGATCTATTTATTTGGTGAAGCTTCTTCTTGCCCTGCCTGCCCATCCTTTTCTGAGCAGAATTAACAACAAGGTCTTAATGAGTTTTTAAATGATACACCCAAAAAAGAAATGATAAGACATGCATTTTAATTACTTTTTTATTTCCATGATTAACTATCTCACCTTTCCAATTTGGCTCCAGTATTCAGAACAATGTACAGTATAAAAATACAACAATAAAGTAATGATATAAAAATAGACTGGGCACGCACACACAGAAAAGAAACTCCATAGTGGGGAAAAAGCCGTAAACATGTTTAATTAATATAACGTCATCTGCCTTCCACAGAAGAAGCTTGCTGGAACATTAACATAGAAAAAGCCACATGGAGAAGGTAATTCAAGCATTCTTTACCCTGGCATTGGATTGTGGTCCAGTGTAATACTGAAGTTTGACTGATGGTAGTTTTGCATCCCATTATTTAAACTATTTTAATTGTTTAAATTTTACCTAGAAGTTAAAAACCCTAAAATATTCTGATAGGTCATAGGATCTCATTAGAAACAGTGGTTCTCAAACAGTGGGTCCCCAGGTGTTTTGACCTACAACTCCCAAAAATTCCAGCCAGTTTACCAGCTGTTAGAATTTCTAAAAACCACTGGCCTAGAATAAGCTGTCTGTTCTAAGACAGTAATCACAACTGACCTAAACATGTTATATCCAAGCTAAAAATAACTGGAAAATGTGGGACTTCGCTGTATAAATTCTTAAATCCTCCCCCATGCAAATTGTTGTGTTTTTTTTTAAATTTAGGAGAACTTATTTTTAAATGTATGCATTACAAGTTCCTCAAAAAAATATAGTTTTCGAGCAGTGTACAAATTGTAATGCAATTTATGATGGAATTAAGGCCAACTATTCCATTGAGGGAAGCACAACTATTTGGCTTGTACAAGCTTTTATGAGCTGCTGTATAGCCTGTGCATACTGATGGTAAGATACTTTTGTTTAAAGTTCAACATCCTACAGAATAATTGAAATACTAAAATCTCTGTGTATAAATTTTCCTATATCTAATATTTTTATTTGGTTCCATTTAATGTATTGCATGGCTTAAAATATGTTACCAAAACAGTTTTGGTAAAATTGGCTTGTAAAGATCTCCAGAAAAATAAGTTTTCAGAACCTGTAAATACTCCACAAAAATTAATTGTATATTAAGGTGTGCATATTTTCTGTGCATTGCTTTCTGGAAATGTTCTGAAACTTTCTATGAAGATGGTGTGCAAGGATAGAAGTATAAACTGCATTTTCACAATTTGCAATTGGTCTATCACTTTGGTAATTGATCTATTGATTTTGCAATTGCACTAGTGATTCTTTTTAACGGGGAGTCATCCGATTGGTCCAGTGTTCTTCTCTCTGGTAAAATGGAGATGGAGGGAAATGTGTGCATTTTTGCATTGAAAGCACATTGCTTCCTTCACCCATTCCCTTGATATACATGTAGCTGGACTCAGACCTCAAAGTGTCTAGATTTTCAACTGGCAAGTGTAAATAAACTATCATGATATAAAAATGGTAATTATTAGGTAAATAAGGTGGCAAATGAAATAAAAAAGCCAGAGAGCCCATGATCTGGATATATTTGAAAGCCAACCAAATGTTTGCTGACATTCTGAAGGCATTCTGCCTTCTGTTTTTACTATAATCAAAGATAGTGTGCACATTCCCTACTAGGTTCATTTGGGCTTTCCCTTATTTTTTTGCTTCATTCAAGCGTTTCCCATATGATCCACCAAACACAGGTGGAGTTTCTAAGGGAGCAGTCATCCCCCCTCACAACAGGGGAAAGGACAGCTTATACAGGCTTAGGGTATAGCTATGAAAAGGTTCCATGCATTTTTCAGACTCCTGTGACCGCCAGCTGAACCAATACTTTTCTGGAAATCAATCACAATTCGTCTATTTAAAACTAATGTTTGTATCAGAATTCTGTTTTTGCACTTGAAAAAGTACAAATAGCACAATATGATCATCTGTTGGTTCAAGTGCTCTTCTGTGAATTCACACAGCAGAGTTCTGATGAGACACTGTGCATGCACAGGAAAACCCAGTTGTGAGAATCACAGAGACCACAAACCAGAATGTGGTTGAAAGAGTGGTACATGGCTCAAGTTTGCCCATGCCTGCTATAATCTATGGTAGATCATTGAAAAGTGGGGGATGCCTGTAATTACTTCAAATGCTGTGGTGGCATACTATGGAATCCTGGGCTTTGTCATTCTGTGAAGTACCAGAGGTCTTTCTCACTGAGTTCTAAATGCCTGTCCCCAAACTAGAATTCCAGAGGATGAACCACTGAAGTTAAAGTAGATTCAGTGCAATATAGTGTGAATGGGCTCTTGGGGCAGGCAATGGCGATGAGAGCAGAAAAGCTACTGGCACAACCACCATGAAGGAAATAAGGCACTGGAGAACTATAATGCTCAGAACCAGCAGATTGTGTATGTCTTCCCTTGTCATCATTCTGGGAAAAATGCAGCTGCTTGTGTAGTTCATTGACAACATTCTGGTAAAGGTGTGTTAATCTTGTCTGATTCATAAAAGATGAAAGTGGTTCATCTACTTTCAAAAGTGTGTTGAGTTTTAAAATAAATTCCCCAAGTTTGCGGGGAAGGAAAAAAATAATAAAGGTTAATTGCTGTTTGCTAATTAAATTGTATTTCTTTGGCTTACTGTAGAAGAGCACCTTCGTTGATAAGTGTACATCCAGTTTGAATCTGTACAAAAGCAGTACATAAACCCAGTTTACTGCTTCAGAATTATTATTCCAAAATACCATAAAAGTTATAGAATGAAGAAAGGGGAAACATGAATTCTTTTTCTATAATCAAGCTTGTGCGTTATAAAGAAATGCTTACTTTTGTATACAGGAAACAAGATTTCAAAGGTGGGGGAAGTTATATAAGGCCTGAAGAAGTATTTGAGGCAAGAAGAGCGAACTAAAAGAGGAGCTCTACTTTGGCAATTCTTCTATAATAATACGAGAGACCGAGTTCCATCCAGTTGAAGCATCTCCTCTTGGGTAATCGGAGCATGTGCCAACCCAAACAGCAACATCCACCAGGCCAGCACTGATTCCTTCGCACAATCCTTCCACTGTTGAAAAGACAAAACACATGTTGGTATAACGCAAAGTATTTTATTCATAAATGCTAAAGAGAAAGTAGGAGTGCAGAAGGAAATCATGAACATTAGAGATCTGTTACCAAAGGAGGTAAAGAACCAAAAGAATCTACATTATAACTAGAGGTTGGGGTGCGTTCCTTGTTTGTACCACATCACTAGTCTGTATGGCCAATGGGAACTGTAGTCTGATTGTAATTGTTCCAAGATCTGATTGTTCCAAGATCTGATTACAACAATGTGGTAAAGACTATGAAGTAGTTTCAGTCCTTGGCTTGATTCCTGGATAACAGGTGCCAGCATCCCTTTGAGTGCTAGGGGCAGGAATGTGGCAGGAAATGAGAAAACATCACTTCTAAAAGCGATGTCAAACATCATTTCAGCTTCCGAAATTCCTTACATGTTGCCATATAAATCACTTGTCAGTAGTATTTTTAAATATAAGGCCAATGATCTGCTGGTTTAGGTTTTTGCATTCAAGAGATCGCTCAAATTTTAGATTGTCAATATCATAGCAGTTTTGTAAAATTGGGGTGGTTGTTTTGACTGGACAACATTTCTCTGTTAAAAGATTATTTGAAGGGAACACTGAGTGCCATCAGTCATTAGCATTATAATGTGGAAATGTTAGGAGGGAGGTTTGAGCTACAACTCCCAGAAATCCCTACCATGTTGACCATGTTGGTAGTCCAGAAAAATAACATCTGAGTTCTGATGAGCATAGTGTTGTCTTAATTTGCATTCCAGTATTAAAATGAGATGGTCTAAGGCTAGATATGTATAACTCTCAGTTCATCATGAGCATTTTGACTTGTTACAAATAACCAGACCTGCGATATGTCTGGCTTTTCCCACCACTAAAGCCAAGGATTTTTACTTTAAATTTTAATTCACATTATTATACTGTCTTGATACATACCTGAAGAGGTACGGTGTATGTTAATAGTAGAATTTAATTCTGGACTTCCTTGATCTAAATAGATTATAGCTTCGATAGGAAGTGGCCCAGAGCACTCGGCTCCATTAAATGTAAAATACCATCGCTGACAACAGGCATTTTTGCATTTGAGTCGCAGTGATCCACTGAAGAGGACTCTCAAGGCACTGTTGGTACGCATCTTTGTAAATGTGCATTCCTAAGTGAAAAAATAACCAATTATATATTAAAGCTATTATTATTATTATGTTTGTTTAAATCCCGCTTTTTCTCTCCATACGGAGACTCAAAGTGGCTCACATCTAAAAGCATTGCAATATAACTTAGAATATACAAATATACAAGTATTAAAACAATATTAAACATCATTAAAAGCATATAAAATAACAGCAGCCACAGACAATCTGAAAAACTTTTTTAAAAGCCTGCCTGAATAAAAAGGTTTTAACCTGCCACCTGAAGGACAGCAGGGAGGGGGTCATTCTGGCTTCCCTGGGCAGGGAGTTCCAGAGTCGAGGGACAGCCACCAAGAAGGCCCTCTCTCCCGTTCCCACCAGTTAAGCTTGAGATGGAGGTGGGACCAAGAGAAGGGCCTCTCCTGAAGATCTCAGCCCGAGCAGGTTCATACAAGGGGTTGCATCAGCCAAATCCTGTTGATTGCTTATTAATTGTCTCAAAATGGCAGAATTTGTAGCCTGGTGATGAATGTTTTATTATATAAACCATGTGTATTTTCAAGGAGACTGTTATGCAGGCCTCTGATGTGACTCTCAAAAAAGAGAGTATAACTCCTGTGCCCTATAGCACATTCACACAACCTTTTCTTCTCACTAGTTTGTGACTTACCCCTGAAGTAGGAAACGGACACATAAATGCTTCTAGCATCAATCCTGTTTAGGCTCATAATATGAGCTAGCCGCACACTGCACACGTGTCAAGTTTTCTTAACATGTACATGGGGTGGTGCCTCACCTTATTTCACATTCTCCTTTTGCTTACACTCCTTTATATAAAGTGTAAGTGCCAAAAATCACACCGTTTTATTTAAAATGATGCAAGATGTAATAGAAAAATACCTCCTATTTTTTTTTCACTTAAGGGAAAATAATAGTTTAGAAAGAATAATTAACTGGCAATCTTAAAACATAAGTGTTTAAGAGCTAGTATTTGATAATGTACATAACTCATTGAAATTGCCATTTGCCTCAGGTACTGTATTTCTCATAGAATTAGCCAAGTACTCTCCTTTCTTCTCCAACTGCCCTCTGTATTAGTCTAGCGTATGGAAGAGAATCACATGGACTCTATAAGTTACTGGACTGCTACTCCTAAAATTCCTCACCTTCAAATCTGTTGAGTCAGTCTGATTACATCTCAAGAGGCCCATGATTCCCACCCTTCATCTACCGTGTTCTCCAGATGTGTTAAAATTACATCCTTCATCATCTTCAGCCAACATAATGGCAGCTGTAGCCCAAGACATCTGAAGTGTATTGGATGTCTAATCTCTATCTGGAAGATTTTTCTTACCTTGTTTAAACATATCAAACACTTTTATTAAAGATTCAAAATACATTGTTTTTTTAATCAGTCCTTTGAGATATGTCAGTGGCAGTCTACATATAATAACATCCATGGCATTATGTTAGTGATATATGCAAGTCTAATGTATACATGCATATGCCTTTTTTTAATCATTAGGAAGGTTGGTATTTTCTTCCTCTCTCCAAAAATATCCAAAGCTTTCCTTTTCCAGATCTCTGTTTTGCTGTGCTTTCTGTCTCAAGCACAGCCACTCAATGATTGATAGAAATGGATGATTGGAAAAGTGTGAGCTTACTATCTCCTTGAATCATCCACCAAGACCACAGGAGAGCTCAACAGATGACAACACTGGTCTGTGTATGGCTATGGAAACGCACATGTTTCTCTGACTCTTCCTCTTCTCCCCTCTCTACCAGGTACAGAATGATTATGGAGGGAGACTGACATTTATTTATTTATTTACAGTATTTATATACCGCCTTTCTCATCCCTGGGGGGACTCAAAGTGGTTTACACATAAATAATGGCAAGATACAATGCCTTACGTTGGGCACCGATACAGTGCCAATACAAACAATTACAATAGTAAAACCACAATTAAACATATATCACAATTAAAACGCTACATCAACAAGTATTAAAACAATAAAAGTCTCGTCAGTCAAATCGCTGCTCCAGTCAATGTCCCTCTAAAATGCTACATACATCTACTGTCCGAAGGCCTGGTCTCAGATTCATGATTTTAATTTTTTTTCTAAAAGCCAGGAGGGAGAGAGCGGATTTTACCTCATTTGGGAGTGTGTTCCATAGGCATGACATAGACATTTGTTTGTTTGTTTGTCCCCGAAGGGGACTCAGGGCAGTTCACAGTGTTGGCAACAATTCAATGCCATTGATTAAAAAAAAACAGTATAAACATCCTCCACTGATAAAACATTAAATATTATTGAACAATCACACAAAATAGCATCACATATCACACAAAAACATAGCCATTGTTTGTAAACACTTTCAACATAGTGTATCTCTACCTGCAAGACATTTATGCTATGATCTACAGGATAGTTTTGAAGAGACATGGGTTGGAATAATTGAAATGTATACTATTTGCTTTTGCTTAACAAATATATCCAACAAATTTGCTAATAATAACTTCTGCAATCTACTAATGGTAATTGCTTAAAAAGAGCATTCAGTTTGGCAATATACTGCAAATATGTATCAACTACCACTGCTTTGATTTGCAAAACAACACTGTGTATATATTGATAATTGCCTAATAGCTTAAACAATAATGCAAATTGGTATGGATCACTGCTTTGCGCCTCACCTTAGTTTCAGTTGGCTCTTAACAGCCTCCAAGAATGGGGCCAGTTTGACCCAAAAGGAAATTCAAAGGAAGTTGTTTTTGCTAAGACTACAACACTATGCACAAGGATGAGTTAATGGGAATGGAGGTCTAGTCGACACAACAAGTCTATATCTTCCCTTAGACAGTGGCTATCAACCTGTGGGTTCCCAGATGGTTTGCCTTCAACTCCCAGAAATCCTAACAGCTAGTAAACTGGCTGGGATTTCTGGGAGTTGTAGGCCAAAACACCTGAGGACCCACAGATTGGGAACCACTGCCTTAGAAGACAAGGAAACTAGAGACCAGTGCTCACAGCAATGTTTAATGGCTTTAGCACATGTGTGCAGAAAGGAAAAGAAATTTCAAAGAAAATGAAAGCTAAGAATGACTACAAACAGAAGCTAGATTGAGGTATGGGTGGCGCTCTTGATATTTGTGTAAGCATACTGTGTAACGTTTATTGATCAATAACACTCACTGATAAAGATCTCCTGTTCCTGGGACTGATTGGGAATAAGAATACCAGAGATTACAATCGACTGTCTGGCAAAGGGAATCAGGACCTGGATAATTTCAGTATCTTTCCCCATATGTCCTAGGCAGGAATTACTCAAACTATGCCTTTGTAGCTATCTTAAGGATCATTCAAGTACATTAGCTATATTTCATTGTACATAACAAACACAAATATAGAATGCTTCCTTACTGCAATTTTTCCAAGGTCTATGCCATAGTTCAGAGCACTCCATGAACACTGTTTATAGTTGGGTGTCCAAGACTCCTCGAAGCTTTCTCGCATACACTCTCCTTTTTCTCCTTTAAGCCCATCGCGGCCGGGGATCCCAGGCGTTCCAGGGATTCCATTGACTCCAGGGTTGCCATCCCTTCCAGGAATACCAATCGGTCCTTGCATACACATTCCATTGTACTGAAAAGCAAAACAATTCACTTGGAGGATGCTTTTTTACCCATCAAATATTTATTGTTTCATTTCTTTTCAAATGCATTAATATAGATATACTGAGCTGTAATAACAAACTCCCACAGAACAAATTTTGCCATGAAAATGCCCACTATAGGGTCACCAAAATTGGGAATTACATAATCAACAACAATACTCATTGGTATAAATTATTAGCATAGAGTTTAGTCCCAAAAAGTAAGGCAAAAGCTACAGGCAGCGCTAAGTTTTATTTTAAGGATGGGCTTTTTTCTCCTGTTTCTCATGCACAAACATCCTGCTTTACGGTTCTCTAACACACATATAGTTAACTAGACATTACTCCTATCATTGGACCTATTCCTTGATGAGGAGAGGATGTGGTGATGACTGTAGCTACAGTCTGCCAGGGCCAGAACTGCTGATGTGTCCAACATGGAAAAAAAATGCTGAAGAACCCTCCAACGATTTCCCAAATGTTTAGCTTTCAGTGACTAATAACAAAGAATGGAAGAGATCAATCAGATTAGTCATTTTCTGTTGCCAGAGAGTCCCACCACAACAGATTACAGAGCGGTCTACTTTCCAGCCCACCAGCTGTGGACACTGCATTTTAGCACACAGAGATAGAAAAGTTTGGGTTAAAAGAATGGACATGATACATCTCCCATTTCACTCCATTTTAAGGGTTCCTTCCTTCAGCCAGACCTCACAGAAACACAATGCTGAGTGAGCAAGATAGATGTATTTATTCATAAATTGTATATATCCTGACTTTCTCCCAGTACCAGGGCTATGGTGGCCTGCGGAGAACTGCATGCTGGCATTTCAGTCAGATTCTCTCAGCCGCTGTGCATTAAATATCAACATGCCAATGCAATGCCTATAAAAGGAGGAGCAGATCTCATACAACGGGACACAGGGCAATCTCCTTCACACCTTTCAAGCAGCCCCCAGACACATCTATCTATACACATAATAAAAGTGAAAATATATGTGTGTGTGTATTTAGTTGGGATGTTCACGTACACAGAAAAGCTCCTGCCTCCACAAACAGCTATAGTTCCTACTATTCAGGAGACACCAATGGCCCTCCCTCCAATGACACTGCAGGTTTAGTGAATGCCATGAACATGAACAAGAGTCCTGCCAATGTCCTCCAGAAACACTATACTGCCCACCACCCAAGTGAAGGCTTTCATATGTTCCTCCACCACAGACATCCCAGTTTCTGACCCTCTCCATTGGCGTGGAATTTGCATGACCCCGCCCACTGCCTCTCCCATAACTCTTTCCAATTTTTTTCTATGGCACATAGCAAACAGAGGAATTTGTCAGCAACTGAACATACTAGAGAGGTTGGGGGGAATTCACCATGATTTATAGGAGTTTTAAGAACTGGGGTGTATAGTTCATCTGCAATCTAAGAACTGCACTCTGAACTCCACCAACAATGGACCTGGAACTAAATTGGCACACAGAACCCCCATGACCAGCAAAAAATACTGGAGGTCTTTGGAAGGATTTATAAGAGTTGTACTTCACTTACATCTAGAGCGCACTATGAACCCAAACAATGAGAGATCTGGTCCAAACTTGGTATGCATACCCAATATGCCCAAATTTGAGTACTGGTGGGTTTTGAGAGTAATTGACATGGACATCCAGAGAGCACTGTGAACCCGCACACCAATGGATCGGGACCATACTTGGCACATACCTGATATGCTGAAATTTGATTACTGGAGGGGTTTGGGGGAACTGACCTTCCTTTCTGGGAGTTGTAGTTCACCCACAACCTAATGCATTTTGTGAAATTAAAAAATGACTTTTTCAAATAACCTGGGCAACGCCAGATACTCAAGGTAATAAATCAGAAAGTGAAATAGCAGCCAGACTTTTATGGCTGTGATTAGTACATGTCTAGATTTGGACTGCAAGTGAGGAGCCATATTTTTGAAGATTCTACCATAAACGTTTGGTGGTTCTCTTCATTCTTCCATCTCCTTTGGGTTTTGTATCCTTCCTTTCCTTATTTCCTAATTTAGCACCTAAAAACAGTGCTGCTACCTGTTGCTGTTGTAGCTACGATTTTGGCAGCATCTCCTTCTCTTCCTTCCATTTAATAAAGAGGGCTGTGGAAGAAAAGGGCTTTGCAAAGGGAGACCTCCAAAGAGCAAACCTGTGCAGCCCTCTTCCTCTGCAGTCCTCTTTTCATGATTCATTTACACCCAGCTTTCCTCTCTCTATACCAGGCCTGGGCAAACTTGGGCCCACCAGGTGTTTTGGACTCCAACTCCCACCATTCCTAATAGCCTCAGGCCCTTTCCATAAGCTGCTGAGGGGGAAAGGAAAGGGCCTGAGGCTGTTAGGAATGGTGGGAGTTGGAGTCCAAAACACCTGGAGGGCCCAAGTTTGCCCAGGCCTGTTGTAGATGCACCCGAAGAGGAATGAAACACCCCATAGCACTTAAACCATCGAAGAGCAATGCTAAGGAATCCAGGGAGTTGAGGTTTGACAAGGCCTTTATCCTCCCAAACTCCATCTCCCCGGGTTGCATCCCCCTCGGCATGGACAAGAGGTGTGAAGTTGCAGGAATTCTCCCGTGTAGATGCACCTGGGCTGTTCAGAGATGTCTCTGCGCATGCAAAAGAAGACCTACAAGCTCGGCCTCTCATTGAACATCAAGAAAACCAAAGTGCTCTTCCAGCAGTCACCAGCCAACCCCTCCCCAATGCCAGAAATACAGCTTAATGGTGTAACATTAGAAAATGTTGACCATTTCTGCTACCTTGGCAACCACCTCTCCACAAAAGTCAACATTGACATCGAAATACAACACCGCTTGAGCTCTGTGAGTGCAGCATTCTTCCAAATGAAGCAGAGGGTGTTTGAGGATTGGGACATCTGTAGGGATACCAAGGAGCTTGTTTATAAAGCCATTGTCATCCCAACCCTGCTATACACCTGTGAAATGTGGACTGTCTACAGACGTCACACTCAACTCCTGGAATGATTCCATCAGAGCTACCTCCAAAAAATCCTATAAATCTCTTGGGAAGACTGGAGGACAAATGTCAGCTCACAGGTAGAAGCAAAGACCACCAGCATTGAAGCTGCACCATCAACTCAGTTGGACTGGCCACGTTGTCCGAATGCCCGATCACCATCTCCCAAAGCAGTTACTCTACTCCCAACTCAAGAATAAGAATGTAACGTTGGTGGACAGGAAAAGAGATTTAAGGATGGGCTTAAAGCCAACCTTAAAAACTGTGGCATAGACACCGAGAACCGGAATCTTTGGCTCTTGAGTGCTCTAACTGGAGGTCAGCTGTGACCAGCAGTGATGCAGAATTCAAAGAGGCATGAATGGAGGGCGAAAGGAGGAAACGTGCCAAGAGGAAGGTGCGTCAAGCTAATCTTGACGGGGACCGATGCCCTCACTGAATAGGGCTCCACAGCCACCTACATATCCAGCACCAAGACACCACATCTGGAGGACCATCATCCTCGAGCTACGACGGATCGCCTAAGTAAATAAGTCAAAGAGATGGAGAAATGGGGACTGCAATGGGGAGTCCTGCTGCTCTTCTCCCCAGTCTCTTTCCAAATCCCCCCAACCAGGTCCCTGGAAGCCCCCCTCTCTCTCCCTCTCTCACTCACCAGGTCCAGCACCTCCCTCTGCCGCAGCAGCGCCTTGCCCTTGCCTTTGGGGCTCTCCGTCGCCTGAGAAGAAGAGGAAAAAGAAGAGGAAGAGGCAGCCAGGAGCAGGAGAAGAGCCAGGAGGAAGGCCGGGGGCAGCGAGGCTCCGGGGCGAAGGGGCTTCATGGCTGGAGAAGTCGAGGAAGAGGAAGAAGAGGAGGAGAGGGAGCCGTCGAGGAATGAATGGGGCAGTGTCCTCCCCTTTCCTGCCCAGAGCGCACAAGCCAGCCTTTCATTCGGCGCCGCAAGGGAGCAGCAGGAAGGAGGCTGCGCTTGGACGCCTCTCCTGCCTCTTTGCCTGCCTTCCTTCCCTCTTTCCCCTCCGGGGGGTCTGCGAAGAGGAAGGAGGGTCTCCAGCTGCCCCTTGAGCCCCGGTTGGGGCTCTCCAAGGGCGCCTTCTTTTTCCACTCCCAGCTGCAAGGCATTCCTGCGGCCTCCCAGGCTCCAGGACTGGCCTCCTTCCGATGGAGGAGAGGACAAAGGAGGCGCCCGGCCAGGCATTCCTTCCCTGCCTGGCCTCAGACCCCGGCCCCTGCCGCTCTCTTCCCCCAAACACCTCCCAGCCTCGTCCAAAGCGAAGCCGCATTCATTTCTCCTCTGGAAGAAGCTTTGGTTGACATGGTGGACAAAACTCTTTGCTGTGGGAGGCGACACATTCTCATCTTTGTATTGTCGAAGGCTTTCATGGCCGGAATCACTGGGTTGTTGTAGGATTTTTCGGGCTATATGGCCATGTTCTAAAGACATTCTCTCCTGACGTTTCGCCTGCATCTATGGCACGCATCCTCAGAGGTAGTGAGGTCTGTTGGAACTAGGAAAATTGGGTTTATATATCTGGGGAATGACCAGGGTGGGACAAAGGACTCTTGTCTGCTGGAGCTAGGTGTGAATGTTTCAACTGACCACCTTGATTATTTATTATTTATTTATTTATTTGCAGTATTTATATTCCGCCCTTCTCACCCCGCAGGGGACTCAGGGCAGATTACAGTGTACACATATATGGCAAACATTCAATGCCAATTTGACATACAAGGTATACAGACATACACAGAGGCTATTTGACTTTTTTCTGGCCACCAGGGGAGCTGTCGCTTTCATTGTCCATCTGCAACACTGATTAAGTACTTCCACCTTCCCCACATGCTTTTGCTGGAGTGCATTGCTGGAGTATTTTTTATGGCCTCATAAATTAGTTAATTTAGCCTCACCACACAAGGTGGTACCTAATTTTCCTACTTGACAGATGCAACTGTCGACAACAGGCTACACAATTGGTTGGAAGCCCACTCCAACCCAGGCTGGCTTCAAACTCATGACCTTTTGGTCAGAGTGATCTTAATGCAGCTGACTCAGCCAGCTGCGCCACAATCCCAATTAGCATTTGATGGCCTGGCTGTTGTTAGGTGTGGCTTGTTAGTGCCTGGGGGAATCTTTTGTTGAGAGGTGATTAGCTGTCCCAGAGCACCTGATGTTAATTGGGAACACAGAAACGCTGGACTACTCAAACAACCACATGCCAGACTGCACAGAGAAGCCATTGAAATCTATAAGCATGTGGACAATTTCAACAGAAAGGAGGAAACCATGAAAATGAACAAAATCTGGCAACCAGTATTAAAATACTCTAAAATTACAACAGCAAAACAACAGAGAGAAAACAATCAGGGAGTGCAGAAAAATAACGGTACTTCAGGAGTGTTTTTCAGTGCCCCAAAATATATCTATTCTCCCATAAAACAACTTGTTTTATATTATGCACTCATGAGACAAACTAAAGTAGACTTTGGTAAAAAGTAACATATTTAGTATACTAACAGGAGCACAGAGGGTTAAACAGATGAGCTGCTGAACTTGCTGATCGAAAGATTGGTAGTTCGAATCCGGGGAGTGTGGTGAGCTCCTGCTGTTAGGCCCAGCTTCTGCCAACTTAGCAGTTCAAAAACATGCAAATGTGAGTAGATCAATAGGTATCACTTCAGTGGGAAGGTAACAGCGCTCCATGCAGTCATACCAGCGACATGACCTTGGAGGTATCTATGGACAACGCTGGCTCTTCAACTTCGAAATGGAGATGAGCACCAACCCCCAGAGTTGGACATGACTAGACTTGCTGTCAAGGAAAAACCTTTACCTTAGGGGTGAACCTAGGTAATAAACATTAAATCGCAAGGCCTCCCTCTTCCATTTCCAAGAATACTACAGGCCTGCTGTTTCTACTGATCCTACTGTATATCCATGGATCCCACCATCCATGACTTCAAGAAGTTGACTAGAGATGCCAGGAGACATAGGAATCCCCAGAGAAGTGTTCTGTCCAGTTAAAAAACAGAGCAATGTCTTGTTCAATGTGTTGCCAAAGGTTTTCATGGCCAGAATCACTGGGTTGCTGTGAGTTTTCCAGGCTGTATGGTTGCTGTATAGTTTCCTGAGGTGTGAGTAGAGAAATTAGGCACTGCTTAAAGCGGGGAGGTATTTTCCGACACCATAAAAATGCTGGAGATCAAAGAACAAGGAGGAAATACTATGATCAGAAGGGCTTAGCATCATAGTGGATGAAGCAACAGCTCCCCCCTTTGGCTGGAATCAAGCATAACCTCCAGGCGCCAAAGTTGGAAAATGCCAAAATACCTCTGTCTGTTTGTCTTTATGTCTAAAAATGGCATTGAATGTTTGCCATGTATGTGTGCATTGTGATCCGCCCTGAGTCCCCTTTGAGGTGAGAAGGGAAGAATATAAATACTTTCAATAAATAAATACATTCCCAAGGAGAGTAAGGGGGAAGGACTAGATGGCCCTTGTGGTCTCTCCCAACTCTTCTATGAAAAATGCAGACAGCTATGTTGCTCTTTACTTAAAAACACAAGATTCTTACAGAATCCTTCTCCACAAGGAGTGTGTCTCTTGTAAAGCTAACAGGTCTTGCCCACTCAAGTCACCCCCATCCTTCTGGGTGATTGTGACGTTGGTATTTGATTATATATTTTTACACTTGAGGGTCTTACCTTGTTCCTTCATAGCTGTCTTGCCTTAGCTTTCATCTGATTTCTGACTCCAGCTTTCATTTTGATTAATGACTGAGCCAGGGCATAAAAATCTCCAACTATGTTTATGTCTTCATCACCCTCAATCTCTCCAAAAGCACTGAAAGTGAGAGGGAAAAAAGAGAGCTCTACTAAACCATTCCTTGATTGCAAGATGTAGTGTTGGTTTCACAACTTCTCATACACACCACCTCCCCTCATCTCATGGTTAGCCCTTTCCTTTTATGGAGGACTTGTGCAAATGGCAAAACCATTTATAGCACAGGTTGCAAAAGCTTAAAAAGATAGTGATGGTAATCCAACCCACTCCACCTCGACATTTTTGGATGCAATGCTCCAGATTTTGAAGTCTTCCTGAAGCAGAAAATTTCAACTTGGATCATTTTGTTCCTCAAAGAAGGCATTTGGATAAGATCTGTCGTCTGAACCATTTCTACTAAATGCAGTCATTATTGCCAACTACCCTTTCACCAAAGTCCCCCATAAAAAGCCTCTTGTGCGCACTCATGCCTTGCTAATACAGCTTTTTTGACAGTGATAAGACCTCATAGTTCATATACTGAAAGGTTTCACATACTGTGTTTTATGGATGTAGGTGATAGGACTGTACAGAGAAGCGACTCCAGGTGATTTTTGATGGACTTTGCCCAGTCCATAAATGCCAGGCTGTACATGGGAAGGCCACATGACTGCATCTTAATGAATAGTTGTGGATGCACGACCAAATGTGCCCAAATCATTGTACAAACATTCATAAGCACAAAACACTACAGAAATATACAAGGAGGTATTTGAGTCCCCAGATAAAAATGTTCAAAACAAACTTATCAGTAAATCCCATACATCAGTACTACGTTGCAGAAAGCCTTTTGTATTCTTAAATGGGCTATATTTTTAACTATGCATATTGTTATGTTTTTGAATTAGTTTATTTTTTTAATTGTGTTTTGCTATGATTACATTTTACATTGTGTTTTAATGTTTTTCCTTATTATTATTATTATTGACACAAAAACACAGTATGTCACAGCAAACGAGATCTATATGCTACATTTCGTATCACAAAATCACAAGTCGAACACTATTATTATTATTATTATTATTTGATACACAACAAGATGAGTACACAGCAAACAAGATCACTATGCTGGCTTTTGTATTTGATCACACATTGGACACTTCCCAAGTGCTTAGGACTGTATGCTGTATCGGCAAATAATGCGTGCAGATCCAAGTAGGGTGGCCTTTTGCAGCTGGCAGATGGTAACTTTGTCAGTGCCAATTGTTGTTAAGTGCAGGTCAAGGTCTTTAAGCACTGCATCCAGTGTGCCTAAAGTGCACCCAGTGCACCATTGAGACCACCTTGACTAGCTTGTGCCAGAGTTGTTGCTGCTGCTGTTATTATTATTATTATTATTATTATTATTATTATTATTATTAGAAACAGAACAAGATGAGTCCACGGCAAACAAGATCACTCTACTGGCTGTTGTATTGGATCACACATTGGACACTTCCCAAGTGTCTAGGACTGTGTGACCTATCGGCGAATAATGCATGCAGATCCCAGTAAGGTGGCCTTCTGCAGCTGGCAGATGGTAATCTTGTCAGCACCGATTGTGTTTAAGTGCAGGCCAAGGTCTTTAGGCACTGCACCCAGTGTGCCAATCACCACTGGGATCACCTTTACTGGTTTGTGCCAGAGTCTTTGCATTTCAATTTTTAAATCCTCATATCGTGTCAGCTTTTCCAGTTGTTTCTCTGCAATCCTGCTGTCATCTGGGATTGTGACATTGACAATCCATACTTTGTTTTTTTAACACGATTGTGAGGTCAGGAGTTACTATGCTCCAAAACTTTGTCTGTCTGAATTCAGAAGTCCCAGAGGAGTTTGGCATGTTCATTCTCTGTAACTTTTTCCAGCTTGTGATCCCACCAATTCTTTGTTGCAGGCATATGGTATTTGTGGCACAAGTTCCAATGAATCATCTGAACGTATTGTCGAAGGCTTTTATGGCTGGAATCACTGGGTTGTTGTAGGTTTTTTTGGGCTATATGGCCATGGTCTAGAGGCATTCTCTCCTGACGTTTCGCCTGCATCTATGGCAAGCATCCTCAGAGGTAGTGAGGTCTGTTGGAACTAGGAAATGGGTTTATATATCTGTGGAATGACCAGGGTGGGACAAAGGACTCTTGTCTGCTGGAGCTAGGTGTGAATGTTTCAACTGACCACCTTGATTAGCATTTGATGGCCTGGCAGTGCCTGGAGCAATCTTTTGTTGAGAGGTGATTAGATGTCCTTGTTTGTTTCCTCTCTGTTGTTGTCCTGTTGTAATTTTAGAGTTTTTTAATACTGGTAGCCAGATTTTGTTCACTTTCATGGTTTCCTCCTTTCCTCCTTTGGAGGCTGGGCACTCAATGGCCCACTTGCTGGCTTCCTTCAGTCCATGGAAAAGTTACTTTGAAAATCGAAAAAGTTATCCCACCCCCAACAACCTATTT